TTATTCTCAGATGGCATTGTTATTTGGTTTTTTTGTTTGTTTGTTTTTTGAATTTCAGGTTTATTTTTAGGTTTACATTCTCACTTTCTTATCCCAACTCCCTCTTCCCCTGCATTGAAAAAGAAACAAAACAAAACAAAACAAAAAAAAACCTCTTACAAACAGATATAGTCAAGCAAAACAAAATTACTGTGTTGGCCATGTCTGGATAGATGTCTAGACAGATGTCTAGATAGATTAACTCTGAATCTATCACTTATTTAGAGGTGAGCAGAATGTTTCATCATGAGTCCTCTAGAATTATGGTTGATCATTATGTTAATCAGAATTCTTAGGTTTTTCAAAGTCATTTATCTTTACAGCATTGCTATATTAATTATTCTCTTGGTTCTGCTCACTTCACTCTTCATCAGTTCATAACAAGCCTTCCTAGGTTTCTCTGAAACCATCCCCTTCATTATTTCTTGCAGTACAATAGTATTCCATCACATGTATATGCTGTACCTTGTTCAGCCATTTCCCATTTGATGAGCACCCTTTCAGTTTCTAATTCTTTGCCACACACACACACACAAAAAAAAACTGCTATAAATATTGGGTTCACGTTGGTCTTTTTTCTCTTTCTACACCCTGAACTAGTTCCAGGGCCCCCTGGGGAATTCTTCCTGTCCCAGTGTTTCCTGCTTTAGTGCACAGCCTTGGTCCTTTTTCAAAGCCTAGGTATGGGAGTGTTCCACTTGCCATATTTTCATCTAGATCCTGTTCCCCATTTTAGCACACCTTTTTGTATCCCTGGCCTGACCTAGGCTGGAAAAATGGCTCAGTGAGATTCTTTTCTCAGATTTCCCACTTGAGATTCAGTCTGATGCATTTTCTAGATCTTTGTCAGGGGGCTAGGCTGCCCTTCTTACTGCTACTTTGCCTTTTTGCCTCTGCCTCTGGATCTCTGATATATTAAAGAAGTCATTTATTTAACTGATTGGAGGAGAAGGGTAATGAGGGTCAGCTCCTTTCCTGTTGTAGGAAAACTACTCAAAGGAAGACTCCAATTCCACAACAGGTAGAATAATGGATGGGGGGGGGTGTGCACGCGCGTGCATGTCTACCCACACTTGGGCACATACTGGGTTTTAATATTAAGTAGTACTAGGAGTACTAGGTAGCCACCCTCTCATCTATGGTAATACTTCAGGGGCCTTCTTTTCCAGGTGCCAGTTGAATCTAAAAATGTCAGGGCTTTTTTTCTTTCTGTTTTTAAACAGATTTTTAATTCAGACTTTTCATAATGAGACCGTATCTTCTGGGGAAGTTTCTGATTGTTAGATGAGTAAAATGCCTGCAGTTTTCATTTTAACTATGTGGTTTTTGCCTTTGGCAGCTTGACATCTCTGATATTGTTTTAAGATAGATATTCTATTTAATATAATTTTTTTCAGTTGGAGATATCAGATGGAAAATGAGAAATAGCTTCTCTCCATTTCCTTTTCCTTCTCCCCAAACGTTGGATTTCATTACAAAATATGTCTGCAGTTGGATTCCTTGTCTTAGGCTGGTGATATTGCACTTTCCTCCATGAACAAAGTTAGGGCTTAGGAAGGAGGCTAGGCCTTATTTTCTCCCAAGTCTGACCCTAATTTAGGAGAAAAAACAAACCCCAACCCCCTTGTTTTGTCTCCTCCCTGGGGATGTTTGCTGCCCTACCCTGATCTCTTTCTCCTCTCCTTGACAATTGGCCTACAGAAAATAGGTCTGAGAGTGAAGTAGGTAGGAGTTGTCACCATAGTCACACAGAGGGAAGGAGGCCTGAAGCTCCTGATGAAAAAGTTAACAGCTTTCTAGTTTATATTGAATTTAGCCATGGACAGGGGCATGTCACAGGATCCAGAGTTGGTTAGCTTTCAGCCTGGTTCAAGGAGTCTCCAGAAGAAAGCTCTCCACTTCTCTGCTATATCTAAGCCACATAACAATATGGCCTACATGGTCACTATCCTATATCATGCACAGAAGCCAGAATCTCTCCCTTTGGACTTGGAGAGGAGACATTTCACCTTACCTTGCCCAGAAACAGGCCATGTCTCCCAGTGAAACCAGGTCCTGTCTGTGTCCAAGCCATATCCTAAATCTGCCTTGTGCCTTCTGTCCCTGGCCCTCTCCAACAGAGCTCACAGTCCCAACCCAGCGACTCTGAGAGATGATTTTTTTACTTCCTTTGCAAAGAGCCAGGCCACCTTGCCTTATCTAAACCAAGGCCCCTGTACTTGGGCCCTCTTTTATCTCCCACCACAACTAGATTGACTTTCTTAGGGTTCTCTGATGGGTGAGATTTCAGCTTACCTTGCTTCAAACCTGGCCAAATCCAATATGTAATAGATAACCAAACCATGCTTCCAATGCTCTGACCCTTCCTCCTCTCCCAGGGAACTCAGAATAATGTAGCTACAGCTACAGTAAGTGAGCTTTAATATGATCCCCAGAACCAGGCCAGCCCTCCGTCTCCAAACCGTGTGGACCCCTGCACTGCATTCTGGCCCTCCTCAACCTCTCTTCCCGACCAGAGCTGAGACTCCACCACCTGGGACTCTGAGAGGTGCATTTTCAGCTTACCTTGCTCAGGTCTAGGCCATAGAGTTTCCGTATCATCCAACCAGGCCATATCCTACCTCTTAACTGTGCCACTTGCAATCTGGCCCTCCTCCACCTCCCACTAGGACTCCCTTTCTTGTGGCTCTGATAGCTGAGATTTTAGCTTACTAAATCATTTCCATTTCAGTCTGACTGTCTTCAACCTCCCACCAGAACTCAGAATCTTGCCCTTGGAGGTCTGGTAGATGAGCTTTCATCTTACCTTGCCCAGAACCAGGATGTGTCCCTTGTCCATCCATATCCAAACTGTGGCCCCTTTGCTCTCTGTCCTCAACCTCCCACCAGAACTCAGAAAATTATCCCCGAGGCTCTGAGATGTACATTTTCAGTTTCCCTTGCTCAGGTCCATCCCTTATCCATACTGGGTCTAAGTCATTCTCCCTGACTCTCTCCTTCACTTCTCATAGACTTCAGAATGCTACTCCTAGAACTCTGGGAGGTGAGCTCTCAGCTTCTCCTGCTTCAAATCAATTTATGCGTCACCTTCAAACCTTTTACCTTCTTTTTCTTAGGTTCATGCCCTGTCCCACCTCCAAACCCTGCTGCTGTCTCTTCCACCTCCTTGCAGACCTCAGAATCCCATCCCTGGGGCTCTAATAAGTAACCTTCAATTTCCCTTATTCCATTCTAGGCCATTTCCCTCTTACAGCCCATATCCCAATATGTACTCTGACCATCGTCTACCTTCCATCCCTGGGACCCTGATAGCTGAATTTTCAGCTTACCTTTCTCAGGTACGCTTTCTTAGGACATATCTGCTGTCCACCAAGTCTAAACCTTGTCCCCTTCGCTCTGGCCCTTCTCCACCTCCCATCAAAACATAGTACCTAGTCCCTGGGGCTCTGAGAGGTGAGCTTTCCCTCCACTATCTTAACCACCTCCATACTCCTTCCTTTCCCTGTCTAAATCATATCCCCTGCACTCTGGCTGTCCTCCACTTCTCACTGAACTCAGGCTCCTGCCCCTGGGACTTGGAGAGGTGCCTTTTCAACATGCCTTGTCCCAAACATGGCACTTCTCCATGTCTGTACAATGCCATCTCCCACAAGAACTTGGACTCCCACCACTGGGCCTCTGACAGATGAGCTTTCATCTTAAGTTGCTCAGAACCAATCCATGTCCCACTTTAGAACTAAATTCTAACCATACTTCATGTATGATCTGCCCCACATCCTAGGTCCCCTAGCCTCTCATGGGTACATTTTCACCTTATCTTACTTGGAATCAAGTCCCTTCTTTTCTACTCATTTTTTTTTTGGTGGGGTGAGAGGTGGGGCTGAGATAATGATAAAATAATATAATAATTGATGGCAGAATAGCAAGTTGCTATGTTTCTCTGAACTCCATAAAAGATAGGACCTTAATAATAATAATACTGAAAATAACCAAAATGAAAACACAGAAACATCTTTATTTGGAACAAAATTATTTATTAAACAATTTTTTGATATGTATCCTAATGTGAGATCTATGAAAGGGGGTAGAAAAGATTCACTGTAGAATAAGCTTATTTTTCTTGACTCATGTGGAATATATATTTTTGTTGTAAATGTTGGTTCCTCAAGAAAATGTTCTTCCTGATGAATAATATACATCATCATTCTCCTTTCAGTAGCCATAGCTATTATCCCTAAAACATCTCAGTAGATATTAATCCATTTGCTATTTATTTTAATCCTATATATATATATATATATAACAAGAACTAAAAGAATGGGAGCCAACAGGAAAGAGAAAAGTCCTTCCATATAAGATCCTGGCCAAAAATACAGATAAAATAGTTATTTTGGTGTCTGTAATGAATCATTCCACTTAGGTTAAATTAAATTATATGCTGTTGTTAAATGTTCACTCCTTCAAGGGGTGGAAAAGATTTCTATGAAAAATCTGAGTAGGAAAGCTTTTGAACTCTTTACCATGTAGGGAAGACCACCTTTGGGGGCCAATAATAAAAAAAAATGCATCTCACTTCTTTAGCACTTAATTATTTAGAATATAGAGAATAAATATCCTAGTCTATCACATAAGAAAATATTTGATGGAAGATAGTATGACTGGAATCTGAGTTCTTCCTATATCCTAGAAGTGATATCATCCTAGAAGGATGATAATGGTTAGTCAGATGTTCAGCACTCTCCCTCAGTTGACCCTTCCCTCCACTCCTAACTGCTGATGTTTAAAAATGCACTATGTGTTTCTATACTTATTACTACATTGCTATATTCTTATGGGTAATGCTAATCTTTATGACTGTATTGCTATAGAGTAATGTCTTATTCAGAGAGAAAATTACTAGATTTTTTTTTTGGTAATAATAAAGGATGTATCTTGGGAATTCATTAAGCCATTTCAGATATTTATGAAACTCTTGAGATGTACCTTGTTACAATTAATAGCACCATGCTAGATACTATAAAAAAGTCCAGTGGTATACTATAGAAGATACTAGGATAGCGAGTTAGAATGGTCTGAGATGTAGCCCATCCCATTGATTTCTGCACAGCTTTCTTCCAAGTGGCATACCGAATTTTACTTTCTTCTGCATTTATCTGGGGTTCAAACTGCTCTGTGGGGAGAGCTGATAGATGTTCAGGTTCAAGATTCCAAATATCTACTCCTTCTGCAGCCCCAGCTGCCATGGCAGCATCCAGTGCAGTTGTTTCAGGCAGTGAAGGCCTCACTACTGGAATATACAATATATCTGCTTGAAGCTGCATTAGAATTTTATTGTTGGTCATTGCTCCATCTGCTTGCAAATAGGTGAGTGGCATTACACAATCTTGATTCATGGCATCTAGTATTTCACGGGTTTGGAAACATACTGCTGCTAACACAGCAAAAGCAATATGTTGTTTATTTGTGAACTGAGTAATCCCACAAATAATACCTCTTAAGCTTTGTTCCCAGTATGGTGCATATAAACCCGAGAATGCTGGAACAAAGTAGCAGCCATAAGATGTCTCTGCCTCTTCAGCCAGTCTTTCAATTTCTTCTGTTGTTTTTATGATGCCAAGATTGTCTTTAAGCCAGCTAACAGCAGCCCCAGCAATGGCAACAGATCCTTCCAGTGCATAGTATGCTGGCATGTCTTGGCCCAGCTTGTAAGCCACAGTTGTAAGAAGACCATGGTCAGAGAATACACATTTTGGACCTGTATTGCACAATAAGAAGCAGCCAGTTCCATAGGAGTTTTTGGCTTCCCCATCTTGGAAACACATGTGTCCCACCAAAGCAGCAGATTGGTCTCCCAGACATCCAGATAATGGCACACCTTCCAGAGCTCCAGATTTCAATAGTCCATAAATCTCCGAAGACTTGCGGACATCTGGAAGTATATCCATAGGAACATCAAAAAACTTACACAGCTCTGCATCCCATTTTAGTGAGTGAATGTTGAAAAGCATGGTTCTGCTGGCATTGATACCACCAGCCAGATTCCAGATCAGCCAAGAGTCAATGGTCCCAAAAAAGGCTCTTTGTTCCTGAACAGCATTTTAACTTTTCTCACATTCTCCAAGAGCCAATGGAGTGCTCAGAGGCAGACCAGTCTTGGATCTGACAAAGTTGTTTCTGCCAGGGATTCTCTCACTGAGAAGCTCAACTGTTGCCTGGGTCCAAAAATCAAGCCACACCAGGGTGTTGTAGAGAGGCTCTCTGGTAAACTTGTCCCAGATCACAGTGGTCTCCCTCTGGTTGCTCACCCTGATGGCTTTGATGGTAGAGAGGTCGACATTCAGCTGGACAAGCTTCTCACATGTTGTCTCCACACACTCGCAGACCAGCCGCAGGATCTCTCTAGGATCTTGCTCTACCCAGCCCTCCTTGGGGAATTTCTGTTCCAACTTAACTTGGTGATGACTGATGAGTTTGGCTGTTTTGGAATTAAATACCAGAAAGCGAGTGGAGCTGGTCTGTTGCTTGATAGCACCTGCCATGAATCCCGCTGCCTTGGCGCCTTTGTTGTGCATCAGCTTGACTGTCCTTCTGGAGATGGAGTCCTGCCATAGAGGTTCGGAGCGATCCAAGTAGGAAGGAGAGGCCGAGTTCTCGCGAGCTTTCAGCCCGTCCCTTGTTGAGGGGAAAATCTTTGCTAGAAGCCACGCAGCAAAGTCAGGGTGCCTTACCTATATACTTGTAAAATGGAGTTGCTGTCTTTGGTACTTCACAGTTATTGATTGTTGTGGAGCACCCCGCCTCCCCCATGGGCCGCCTCACTGTGCCATGGGCAGGAGGGGGTGGCAAACATTCTACAGCAATTGTCATGTGTGTCACCAACGGCTTGCCAACAGTCTGAAGGAAACCTGTTTTCTCGCCTCTTTTCCTGCCTCAGACTTGGTCCTTATAAATCAAACTTCATAGGAGGAAACAAGGACATGTACGGTTAAGTCAGACACACTACATCGTGGTGGCCTTAGGACACATGTTCTTAAACTCTTTTGTATTAAGGGATTCCTTTGGCAGTCTGATAGAACCTCTGGGGAAAATATTTTCAAATGAGTAAAAGATCCCAAAGGAAACCAGTTATATTGAAAGACAGTTATCAAGTTGTTAAAAAAAAAAAAGTTTGCAGTCCACAGGTTTAGAACCCCTGCTGTGCATGCTCTTTTGTACATTCCTGCTCACTTCCGAACCCCTCAGCCAAGTTTGTCAAAGCCTTAAGCCACAGTTATGCCCAGTGTCCCCCAAGTGAAGAGCCTGGAAAGGCAAAGAAAAATAAAAAAAGGTAAAAGAGAAGTTAAGAGTTTTCAGCCTTAAGGCTCTGCCCTGAGCACTCTTCTTTTCTTTCTCCCTTTCTTATACTCTCTCCCTTGGTGATCTCTTCAGCTCCCATGGGTTTACTTCTATCTATTCACATGATTAACACACCTCTATAGCCTGCCTTACTATCTTTCTCCTGCTCTACAATTCCACAGCACCAACTATCTGTTAGACATCTTGAGCCAAATGTCCTATAGGCATGTAGGACTGAACTCATTATCTCTACCCTCCATGGTTTCTCCCCCCACCTCCACCTCCCAAACACTCCTGTTAGGTTCAAGGGCACTACTGATCTCCTAGTCACTCAGGCTCACTATCTCAGTCCCATCCTTGACTCCCTCCTTGACTGCTCACTCAGACTCACCACACCTACTCATTCTCTTGCTAAATCTTCTTGTTTTTACCTTTATCTCAGATATATCCGCCTTTCTCCACTTGAACAACTACCATCCTAGTTCACTCAAATTCATCATTCACTCATCTGCCAAAATGATTTTCCTAAAGAACGTATCTGACCACATGGCCTCCCTGTTCCTTAAGCTATCTCCCTGTTACCTCCAGGATCAAATGTAAAGTTCTGTTTAGGATGTCAAGTCCTCCACAACCTGACCCACTCCTTGTTTCTATGCCTTGTCACTGGCTGTTTCCCATTCTTGTGCACGCTTCACCTCTACCTCTTAAAATCTCCCTGGCTTCCTTTAAATTTCACCTCAAATCCTACCTTATGCAGGAGGCCTTTCTTGGTCACCCCCCCCCCCGGTCTATTCTCTGACAATACCTTCTGTCTGCTCATTTTATATCTTTTTTACATGTATGTGTGTTGTGTGTATATATACATACACATATATGTATATATGTGTGTGTGTGTGTATACATGCATGTATAGTTAATTGTTGTCTCACCCATTAGAATGTGATCCCCTTGAGATCAGGGACCGCTGTAGCCTTTTTTATGTCCCCAGCACTTGGCACAAAGCCTGGCACATGGCAAGTGCTTAATAAATACTTGTTGATGGGATGACTAGAGAGGCTGTTAAAAATTGGTGTGGTCTGCTTCTGAGGAACTAGCCGTGTCAGTTTCTTTGGGGTTTCTCCACAGGGCCAATGCCATTGCTGAACTCTATAGCTTTACTACTGATTTAATTGAGTGCTTTAATAAAATTGCTTTTGTAGTTGAGACCCTGGCCAGGAAGCACATCTCCCAAGTAGTAGATACTTTTTATTCTATTTTATCTCTGCTAAGTATTATCTAACATTCATTTATGGGTTTTGAACAAGGTGTCAAAAGAGTGGTATTCTCTGTATAAATCCTGCATACATACAGTATGGCAGCCTGTGAGTCATTGTTTTAAGTGGCTAGACTTTATTGTCTCTCATGACTTATGCTTGTAGCCACACATAAATCACAGAGAAGCAGCCCATGGATTTTAGTGTTTGGTCATAATAAAAGAAGGGATTTCACAGTTTATCTTCATCCAGTAGGAAAGAGGTCAGAAGATGAAAAACAGATTCTGAGTAAATAGCTTATTGTTAAGTTAATGTCACTTAATGAGGGAAATTTCTGCTGAAACAATTGGAAGGAAAACATAACCCTTCTTGTTCATCTTTATCACAACTTTGCAGCTTAAGGAAACGAATCTCACTGAGGATGAATTTTAGCACAACCAGCTTTACAGTTGCTCATTTTTTGGGGAAATTAAGACAAGATCTTCCTTGTATCCTGAAGTTATATAGAACAACTTGGTTTTGAGGAATACTGTGTTGTAGTGGAATGAAGGATGGCCTCAATAATTAAGAGACAAGATTTGAGTCCCTGCTCTGACACATACTGGCTATGTGACTCTGGGCAAGATGCTTCACTTCTCAGTGCTTTTGGAAAATCTCTCAGAAAGTTCAAAACTGCCCTGACAAGGTTGAGAGTTTACCCCTGAGTTCCCTATGCCAGTAAAATCACGGCTCTTGGTCCTATGCCTATCTCTTTTTTTAAGTGTTTCAAGGAAGAAACTGAAGAAGAATGTGTAGGATGGGTGGAGGCAGGAGTAAATATTTCTGTCAGGAAGCTGAGCGGTGGGGTAGAATAATGTGACACTCAAGGAAGGGAAGAAAGAACACTTAACACTTGAATCTTTATAATGCATATGTGGCTCTTCCTCTAGAGGGGAGAACTCAGAGGAGGAATCATCTGCTTGTGCTCTAGGGAATGATGCTGTGAAGCCTTAGGTGCCATGAAGGGGACAAAGGTCAAAAGCAAGAGAGAGGAATAGTGGTTATGGGTGACTCTCAGGAATGGGTTACTGAGGGAGCTCTTTGTTAACCTGATAGAAACTGAGGTGAGATCCGCTGTCTTCTCCAGGTGTGCATTTGTAGCATAATGGAATGCCTCCTGAGAACTATCAGACCTGATAACCATTATCTACTTCTGGTGATTCATATGAGGACAGACCACCAGAAGGAAACTGAAGTGGAGAGGTGTGGGCTAGGTGGTAGTACCTGGTCTGGTTGAATCATCAGAAGATGTCTCAATGTTAGTGGCTCATTAACTTAAAGACATATCTCTAGTGTGATATGTGCCCCAAGAGTCTATCCTTGTGTTATTTAACATTATTATCTGTGACTTGAATGAATGTCATCATGCTTGTCAAATGTGCAGGTGACATGAAGCTTGGACAGTTAGCTAGCATGTTGACATTATAGATTTAAAAAAGGTCGTATCAAAATAGATGAACTTTAATGGGGGTAAATGTGAAGTTCTACAGTAGAGTAAAAAACCTAGCAAATATAGAAGCAGAGAACTGTGGCTGTTCAAATCCAGCCTCAGAATCTTACTACCTGTGTGACTTCTGTGTGCCTCAGTTTGCTAATCTATAAAATGGGCATAATAGCACCTACCTTTCAGGGTTGTTGATAAAATGAAATAATAGTCACAAAGAGCCTTGCAAACCTTAAAGCACCATATAAATGCTAGCTATTATTACAGCTATTATTAGATAGTAGTTCATTTGGGAAAAAAAAAACTGAGGGTTTTAATAGTTCATTATGAGTTAGCTGAGTGATGAGGGGCCACCAGCAAAGTGAATGCTGTCCAAGGTTAGATTAAGAGAAGTACCTCATATAGAATGATGGAAATCACAGTTCTGTTTATATTCTACCCTAGTCAGACCGTATCTTGTAGTACTGTGTTCAGGTCACACTTTTGGAAAGACATTGGTAAACTAAAGAATGTCCCAAAGAGGGCAGCCAGGACAGTGACAATGAATGAATGAATGTTCTATAAGAAGATTGGCTGTAAGAGCTGGCAATGTTTAGCCTGGAGAAAAGAAGGCTTGGTGGGCAAGGGTGGATGGGATGAGGAAAGATAACTGTCTTCAAGCATTTCCCCAGTTATCATGGGAAAGAAGAATAATGCTTGGCCCCAGAAAGCATAACTAGGAACCAAAGGTAGAAGTAACAGAGTCAGATTTCAGCTGAACATGAAGAACAGTTTCCTAGCTCCTAGCTCTACTCCACTGTCATGGGCAGATTACATGTTGGGGATATTAGAGAAGGGGTTTTTGTGTAAATTTTGGGTGGACTAAAAGGCCTGTGGTTTCCCTTTCAACTCTGAGAGTATGTGATTCTATGGAAAGTGAAAGAAGATTCCCTAGTTAAGAACCTATTTGATGATATTTGAATTCCTTCAGGAAGGAAGACACAATGAGATGATTGATATCATAGATGTATACTGGGGTGATCTTGAATGAAGCAAGTGGAAGACAGTTTAAGCCTTTGAGTAGTACAATATCTACTTTAGAAGGAGCTAAAGGATTACTTTGAATTTTAAAAGCTAATTGATAATCTGGAGGATATGTCATTCATTCTCTTGATCATGCGGCTTGGTAACTGTTGATAAGGACTAATATAAACTCTGATTTGGTTGCTGATACCTTAAGGCTTTTAAGGGGCATCATTTGTGAAAGCCCACTAATGTTAAGGTTGTAAGCAATGTCCAATGATGAAATTAGCTAAAGAAATTCACTGGTATGACAATGCTTTGTCAACCAAAAGGAAAGAAGTCTTAGAACCCTGAAGAATATACCATCCTAGGAATCCAGAGACACATTTTTTTTTTTAGTCCAGAGCAGGTGTGGGGAACCTGTGGCCTTCTAACTCCTTGGGTGAGGCCTTTTGACTGAGTCCACGTTTTATAGGACAAATCCTGTTATTAAGGGGATTTGTTCTGTGAAGTTTGCATTCAGTCAGATGGCCACACTTGAGGACCTAGAGGGCCCCATGTGGCCTCAAGGCTGTAGGTTCCCCGCCCCTGGTCCAGAGGCAATCACTCCCCATATCACCA